TAACTTGTATTTTGAGTGGAGGCTGTAAAAACCTTTTTGTCTCCCTGCAGAGAAAATATCTTTGACAACTGGAGAGGGTGATGAAAAATCAAACACTTCACCGATTACCTGCATTTTTACGGATGTTGAAGGTAGAACTGAAGAACTTGTGATTATTTTTCCGCTGCCATGAATTTCCCTGTAAAAAGACGGATTTTTTGAACATATAATCAAGTGAGAAGCATTGAGAAAATGTTCCGTGAGCATTGCGGAGTGTTCCGACTTGCATATTTATTTTAGTCCAATTTCCTGTTGAAGTTTTTTGAACACATCTTTGTAATGGGTGCATGTGGAAGCAGCTAGTTTGGAATATTTTAGCATTGCAGAAAATAGGGCAGTTCCCTAATTAAATCTAAAATATGATATTCACTGCACCATGGAGAAGGGTAAAATGTGGATGTGTGGAAGCGACAGAGTACAACCTCAGACTTGACCCCTCTTTTATTCAAACAGCAGAGAAACGCCAGAAGGCAGCAAACCATTATCCGAGCGTGTGCGTCTCGTGTCCCCTAATAAATGCAACAGACCCGACAACTAAATCCCACTGACACTGACCAAATTAGGCTGCAACCTTAGTGAGGATGGGTAATTGGTTGTGAGCGAGTGATGAGTGTACACCAGGTTTTAACAAGGGGGGGTCCCTCACATCCACCGCCTAAGAATAATGTTGTGAAAGAGACAGTTGGCTTTTTGAGACCTTTCGTTTGGAGCTTTTAATGCAACTCTATTGAGAATGGGAGAATTCTGTTTTGTTTTAAATGTCATAAAACATGTGATTTTCATGTTCAGTACCACAGGATAGAGGCAATGGTCGTTTGTTAGCAAAATCAAATTACAGAATTACAGACATCCATCCGTTACACATGAAGAAGCCTTATTATCAGGAGCTGGTTGAGAGAAAGGCCTTTTCCATTAAATCACACTCATGCACAGTAAAATGAAGGATGGAGGCCCCAGATCCTCATTTCTCAGAAGAAGAGAAAAGCAAAGATCCAGTTTATTTACCATCCTACACAGCCACATCATGTTGTAATTATGCAGCAGGCTGATAGAATCCATGTACGTTTAGGACACTTACCAGAAAGTCATTTGAGAAAAAGTTTCCTCTTTGATTTGAGTATTTTTGAATCTTTACATCTGACGTACTTTCGGCCACAGACAGAACCCAGGTGCTTCTGATCACATATTTATGCTGCAACCTCAAATCAGACATCTGCTTTTAATCATGATTAGCTGACATGACTTTTGGTAAAGTAGGACATCAGCAGGAAGCTTTTGGTAGGACACATTTCCTGTTTAGTCATGTAGATATTAAACTGCTGTGTTGTCATGACCTTAATCACATTCTGTCATGTAATGGAAATCTCTCTTTGTTCTATGTTGTTCTATATTTTTTTCAGAAGAACAACTCATAGAACTGGAGATATCACGTACTGAAGCAGAAAAATGAATCTCAGTCCAGAATCAATCGATTATGCTTTGATTGATTGTGTTTGCAGAGTTTGTTGAGCAGGAAATCATCTCGAGAGTCCCACAGAGGACATAGTCAAATATTGATGAAGCATTTACACACTTACAAATTAGTGTTGTGTCTGAATGAAGATCGCGTTAGTCATGCAGCGCGCAGTGCCCTCGTTTAAGTGATGTCGTGTAATCCCTGCAGCTGCAGAGTCACAGGGCGTGTCCTCTGAACTCCGCTTCAACCCCAGCACACAGATAGTGATGCTGTCATACATCAGTGTCATGCTCAGAGAAACATCGACAGCCCAGAGGCATATGCTTTTGCTTTAGTTAAAGCAGGCTGAGAATAGCTGTGCTGCATTTTCACCTTAATGATAATCTACTCGATTGATGTTCCTGTTCTGAACCAAAGCCGGATTAGTGGACGTTACTTTTAGAGATGCACTTTGGCCTCAAAAATTTTGGCTTAACGTTCGCTAGATCCTCTGCATCTGGAAAGCTGTGTTATAGATAACTGCTCAGGGGCATTTTTCTCTGAGCTGGACAGTTATTGTGTTTTCCAAGAGGTTTGTTTTTAATCCCGGTTTCTCCTCACTGCCCCGCATTCAAGCACGCATACCCCCCCTTGTAATTTAATTTGTGAGACAGTGTAATCAAATGAAAGGTAAGTACTCTCCAGCAAACAACAGTATTTGTTAGCGGCCATTGTATCGAGCCGTCCAACATGCACTTGAACACAGGGCACATTCAGGGAATTGGCGTCATTCATTTGTCATTGCCATTGTGTGTTTTTTTACACAAATATAAATAAATTAAAATGTATTATTCAAACAAAAGACTTTGTCCTTTCAATCAAAAGGAGCCATGACCATGGAATTTATTTAATGTAGTTTAACATTTTTATTAATAAAAACATACCAGGCAACGCATCAGTTAGATCATTTTTCTCACATCCATAGGCAGAGCAATATTTCTCTATAGCTTGTTAGGAAACAAGCTCAGACAAACAAATAATTCCCTCTGGTTCTGCTGGTGTGACTCTCAGCCGACCTTACACCTCTTAGACCAGATGTGCAGCAACATTGAGAAAAGCTCAAGGGTTATTTCCTGGAACAGGGCACTGGAGGGGTCAAACGACACATGTTCCAGAGGACTTAGATCAGTCTGGATCCACAGTTAGGGAGTCTGGCTGGATATCCCAACAGCAGAATACACGAGCCATATCTCACACCTCCAATCACATTACTTCTACTTCTGCTACCACCTAAAGGCCGATGTGATTCCCATCATCCTGTGTCTAACATGTCTGAACACACACGTCGTAAGTGACAAATCCGTACAAATAATGCGTGAGAGCTGAGCGAGCGTATGTCTCCAGGGTGTGTCTTTTTAATAAACCCCCGTTGTGGCAACTTTGTGTTGTTTTTGAGGAATGCATGTTCATTCTAGGGAAAGCCTCATTTTGTGCTCGGCTGCGGGGCATGTTGTGATGTTTCAGCTAAAATTATGCAGCTGCATCAGAGCGGAAAACTGCCGCAACTGGAATATGAGATTTGATGGAGGGGAAGGGGAAGGAACAATTTGGAGCAAAGGATGAAACAAGATAAGGCTTTTATTGTGATTTTTATTTTTAAATGATGAATGATGAATGTCATCCATCATCTGAACACAGAGCACATGAAACATCTTGCAAGATCTGCTTCTCTCAAACTTACATGTGAAGTTCACAAATATGTACTGGCTGGGGTTCCTATTGTTGGAACATATAATTGGGGTCAGGGGCCAGGGTGGGTTGAGAAACTGTTGTTCTTTTTCTTCTCTGTATTTCTGTCTCTCACTTCGGCATTCCCTCTCTCCCTGTTTCTCTCTCGCTGCACCCCCCCCAAGGACTCTCTACTCTGAATCTGGTTAATCATTGCTCCCACTTGGTGCTAAGTTGCAGAAAGTGTCACAGGTAGACCGGCTGGTGTGTGTGTGTGTGTGTGTGAGAGAGAGAGAGAGAGAAGAGGAAAAAACCCTGGAAAACACTCATGCCGTAAGCATGACCATGTGCTCAGCCACATGTGTGTCAGCCTCTGTTCTCAGCTCGGACACATGCTTGAACATGATTCACTCTCAGAACGATGCCTGATCACTTTCCTTGGTAAGAACTAATCTAATAGTCTTCTTTGAAATAGAGGAAATTAAAATTCCGATATTGTTTTTTTTTCCCATGCCGCTAGCGTAAAGCATACGTCAGTTTCATATGAAGATGTGGCCGGCACACGTTAAACTTCATATTGAGCCGTAACGGATGCTGTGGGGTGTCTTGTTTGTTTTAAGGCTGTCATTTTGCTATAAAGAGTTGGGATTTCTGTACGTCTGATGGTGTCAGAGGCAGACAAGTTATTTCTGTGATCTCAGCGGGACCAGCACTGGTCTAATGTCAGACTTGACAAGAGTATCTCTGATCTCTCAGCTCTAGGGGCAATCAGTCACTACGTACTGTAGCTAATGGTAACTGCATCCTGGTCATTACACTGAACAGGCCATTAAGACAGTATGGCTGTTTGTTGAAGATATGATCTGAAGTCGGCCCCTTAGAGTTTTGTAATATACAGAGCCGACGTTTAGATTGTGACCGAAAGCTCCTGGCGCCTTATTCAGCCAAAACTTTACGAGCTTGTTGACATGTTCAGTAAAAACCCAGGCTGAGAAAGTTTTTGACTTGGACTGACACTTTCACAACCACGCACATCACAGACATCTATCATGACACGCTGTGCTCTTATCTCCTGAGCAAATACCACATCCCCGGTTAACAAAAAGAAACCCCTCAAAACACACCAGCACGAGTCCCTCCTCCCCCGCCATGAGACTGGAACAGAATGGAATTTGAAACGTTTTAGCCAAAAATGTTTCCATGGTCAAGGTGTTTTTTGCAGAAACGTTTCAGATTTCGTTCTGTTCTCCGGCTTCGAGCGAATCTCCCGCGGGGAGTTTTGCGGCACCGATCGATGCGCAGGTGAGTGACCTCTGGCACACACTGACATACGCTCAACCAAAATACTGACAGGCTTTGAGATGAGGGTGGACAGCAGCCAACTGTGAGTCACTGAGTAAGTGCAGGCCTGCCGAGCCGCAGCTGTCCGACTGATGGGACTAACAGCGTTTCCTGGAGGTTTTTGGCTCTTCTTGATGCTCTAGACAACGTGCTTCTAGGTCGTCCATCTTGCTGAGCCATTGACCTGTACATCTTTTTACCTGTCGCCATAGCCTGGATGTGAATTGAACTGATCAAGATATCTTTTTTAAATCTTTTTCTAATGGAGGAGTCACACCAACAGTTTCTCTTTATTTTACTTCTGCATGCCCTCAGCTCTTGGTGTAACTAAAGTGCAATAGATATATGAACCAGCCTTTTCCTGTTTTGATCCTCTGGTTCTGCCGAGCCCAGCTGAGGTAATAAGTTGTGTGTTTGCAGTGAGCTTTAATGGATTCTGTGTCTCTGTGTCATGCAGGCAGTGTGGTGAGCGTAGATAAGCCCCCTTATGAGGTGAAAACTCTTCCCCATCCTGCAGTTTCCCCTCCCAGCACCAACAGCAGGAATAAGGGATGTCACGGCTGTTCCTCCTTTTGGCAACGCTCGTCGTCTCCTGCAGCGTCCAGGTGGGTCCTGAGAGCACACACAAACACACAAACACACTGCTGCTTTCTGAAACAATCCAGAGTCGTTCTGTCGAAGCCTAAACAAACTGTCCGTTGATGACATGAGTCTTAGTGTGTACAACACATCAGTCTTTCCATACAATAGCTCCAGCCCCCTCCTTTGTGACAACACATTAGAGTAGAATAGTGCCATTTTGATGGATTACAGCCCTAGTTTGAGGATGGGCTGTTTACAGCTACTGAATATAAGAAGTGAAATGAAACAGATGAGAGCCAATGCAGTTACTGCACCTGTGTTCTCTCCGTCGTCAGAGTGGGGCTCACATTCCCAACATTTTTCTTGCATAACATCCAGTGCATGAATAATGGGCCCTTCTGTTCTAACCGACGTCGTATGTGTGTTTCCTCAGGTGTCTCCTACTGCCACCCTGGATAAGCTGAAGGAGAGTTTGAAGTTGTACATGGAGGAGTGTGATCACAACAACAGCCGAGACCCGCCGAGCACCGGTGAGCAAAACATTTAACAGCCTCTGTGGTGACGGCCTGCGGCGTCACCTTATCATGTGATCTCACAGCAGAAAAAATACGTGACAGGATTTGTTGCTGCTGTGAACGCGCCTGTGCAGAAATCCTCCCGCTCTGTTGTGCATGTGTGAAAGGCAAACTCTGTAGCCAATTCTCCAGATTTTACCAGGAGGTCATGTCTCAAAACTTCTTTAGAGAATCTTTTCAAATTTGGCACTTAACTGATTAAATTTGGTTAAATTTGGGGGGTCAAAGGTCAAGATCACAACAAATCATGATGTGGATCAAAGTGTAGACCGTATGTAGACTATGCACTGGTTGGAGGAGGCGTACAACCACGGGGGGGGGGGTTCATGTTGTGTATTTTGTAATTCAAAGAAACGGGGGTTGCAGTATTATTGATAGTGCTCTGACAACATGACAATCTGACACAAGGGTCAATATGAATACAAGATGTTTTATGTCCAATTTTTGTGTTTACCCTCAGGTTATGGTAAAGTGCTGTCCATCAGGTGTTTACATGTTTTGTGCTGTCAGCTTCCCTCCCCCTGAAACAAAAACATAACACTCCACTCCCCCACTCTGCAGCGCTCACAGACCCTTCCTGTCACCAATGAGTATTGAAGCAAATTAGCAGGTGCAGGGGACAGAATGCATCATACATCTGAACATCCACCTGCCCATACACCAACAGCAGGCACTCTTTACTTCTTTTATTATGAAGATGAAAGGTGTGCTATAAGCGGAAAGTCAGCAATGGAGGACTCTGCAGTCAAGATGAAAGACACTGTAATGAATACCAGTGTCCATCACTTCAAAGACATGCGACTGTATACCAGGGCCTGAAGACCACTTCAGGTCATACACAGCAGAGAGTGTGCAAGGGCTCCGATTGTACAAGATAATCCCTCCAGTGTTTCATATTTTCTATTTTTCTATCCCCAGGCTTTGTGTGCAATAGGACGTTTGACAATTATGCCTGTTGGCCTGATGGAGTCCCCAACACCACTGTCAGCGTGCCATGTCCGTGGTATCTGCCATGGTACCATGAAGGTAAGAGCCATTTGGGTTAGTAGACAGACGCTGAATGAGAAATAATCCAGAGTAATTTAAAATACCAAGCAGAGAAAGATAGCTGTCCGGTAAATAGGTTATAGGTAGGCATGAACTGGCTGTTGCAATGTCCTTACAAGTATGGCTGTGCACTCTGTGTGTGTATGTGTGTGTAGTTCAGCACGGTATGGTGTATCAGGAATGTGACGCAAACGGCCAGTGGGTGGCTACGAAGAACACCAGCGAGTGTGACTCTAATAATCCAAATCAGGTAAGAGAATGATCTCATCAAACATCATGTCACAGACTCACTGTTTGAAGAGAAAATAAAACTAACCCTCTGACACATATTACCTCAAATGAAAGACAGAAAACAACAAGTCCATGTGTTTGTATTTGTATTAAATTGCAGCAGTACTATGGCCACATCCGGATCATGTACACAGTAGGATATTCCTTATCTCTGGTGGCTTTGGTGCTGGCGCTCGGTATCCTCATATTCTTCAGGTAATGATGATTTTCATATAAATTCCTGTTGATTGTTACTACAGTTGATTGTACATCAAACAAAGCATAAAGTGGAGATAGTGGTTGTAGTGGTTTACAGAAGTGTTTTCTCTCATTAGGAAGCTGCACTGCATGAGGAACAACATCCACATGAATCTGTTTGCCTCCTTCATCCTGCGAGCGCTGTCTATCCTCATTAAAGACGCTCTGCTGGTGGCCAACATCACATCACAGGACCTCAGCAGGGACCAGGAGCAGGGATTCCCTCAGGAGTCTATGCCTCCAGTGGAGCAGCTGGTCAACAATGAGGTCAGTGTGAGTGTTCTGCAGATAAACAACAAGCTGTCAAGGACTGTGTGTTACAGTGACCATTAAGGGACTGCATACAAATTGATTTCTTTTCTGTCTTGACATCCCAAACTCATATTTCAGTCTTCACTTTAGGGGTTAATTAAAAAGAAGGAATGAAATGAGGTTTCTCATGTGCATGTATGTGGGTCATATCAAGAGGATAACAATCCTGTTATTGTTTCAGGGGTTTAGTTTTCCCACCAAACAAAGTGTTACCTTTACTCAAAACTGCAAAACAGAACAAAACTAAAAGGCACTCAAGGCTGCACGATCGTGAAGAATTGAACGGCCATAATGATGATGTATGTATAACATTAACAGCAAGTAATTAGACACTCAGTAGAGTGCATAAGGCGGAGCAGTCACATTGTGAAACCACCATCTCCTGATCTGGATCCACACCAAAAATCAATGGATTCCTTCGCGGGTCATGTCTCATCAATAATTTTTGTGTAATCCTGTTCACATCTAACAAACAAACAAATGCAGAAAAAAGAATCAAGTCCTTGGTGGCGGTAAAAATAGTTGTGTTTTGGAAAGAATTGAGGTAATTTTGTAAAAGTGTAGTGGTAGCCGCAGAGTTTATTGCAGGAGCCTTTAAAGCAGGGAGGGACCACTGTTTAGGTTGATGTGTGGAGTGTTTGCATTGGGGGGGTCACAGCTGGATGAGTCTGGGGTTAAACGCTGCTGTTGTACAATCTGCACACTGAGGGCACAAAGTCCCGGCGGCAGAAGGAGCTGCTCCCATCTGCTGCATCTCAACACTCACTTCATCCACAAACTAAATAACGCTGAACATCACACAGCTCTTGTAAAAGAAACCTCGCCGCTGTCTTGCAGATAACAGTTAGCTGTCGCATGGCCGTGGTGATGATGCAATACAGCATCATGGCCAACACCTACTGGCTGCTGGTGGAGGGCATCTACCTCCACAACCTGCTGGTGATCACTGTGTTTACAGAGAGGAACTACTTCAAAATCTACCTGTGCATCGGCTGGGGTGAGCTGGAGTGATAAGTCAGTCGATGCAAGTTCAGTATGTTTTCTGTAATGATCAAATATTTGCATCAAAAAGAAAGAGCAGACAAAAATGCAACATCACTGCTTTGCATTGAGATGATTCTCATTTCTCCACAGGTACCCCGTTAATATTCCTCGTGCCCTGGGTGATAGCGAAATATCTGTATGAAAATCAAGAGTAAGTTTCCACAGTGCTCTCCCTCTCTCTCCCTCTCTCTCCCTCTCTCTCCCTCTCTCTCCCTCTCCCTCTTTCCATCACTTCTGTTTCTGTAGTCGAAAGAGAGCCTGCCACACATTCTCCATTTGAAATCATCCTTGTTGATTTCTCAGCCGTAACCTCCCCACATGGCAGACGCTCTTCCGCCTAAACGTATGAATGTTGATACAGCTCATGGTCAATTTAACACATAATTACTATATGAGGAGTTGGCGGCATAAGAACATTTCTCACAGATTTTGTGCAGGATGCCAAATACGGAGACTGTGTCAGAACAGCAGTTGTGTTTGGGCATTCGTGATATTTCATGATAATGTCTAGTGCCTAAAATCTCTGTTATGCCGTCTCATAGGTTCTAACATATACACTTCAGCAGTAAGTGAGGTGAAGGGGATTTTAAGGCCGCACTTTCTAAAGCATAAACACATGGTGTTATGTAAAGCTGTAGAAACCTTTGGCTCCCTGTCATCAGACAGTTTCTGTTTTAGCAAGAGCTGCAAAAAATGTGTTACAGGATGAGCCACATCTAAAAGCATGTGAGAAATAGGGGACTATTTCTGATGTACGTTTCCATCACTGCATTTCTCTTTCAGGTGCTGGGGACAAAACATAGACATGAATTACTGGTGGATCATACGTTCCCCTATTCTGCTGGCAGTCGTGGTAATTTCCTCTTCTCTCTTCTCATTCCATTTCTCTGTCTCCTGCATTTTGTGATCGTACACAGAACATTTAGTTTCTCCCTGTATTTTAAATTGATGGAGAAAATCTTAAATTATTTTTGAGCGAAAAAGCTTTTAATTGGCAAAACCAAGTGGAAAAATGTAGATTTTCTTTTTGACAAATTTTGCATCATTTTCTGTAATTTTACAAAAAATACCTTCATTAATCAGTTTATAATACATACAAATAATACTGTTAAAAGTACATTTAAAATTGATAGTATTTGTTATTAATGTAATGCCATAAATATTAAAAACATTGTCATTTGGCATTTCTTATTCCTCATTTAAAATACACACAGCTGTTTTCAATGTATTGTTCAATTCTTTAAAATTCAAAAGTAAGTGTATAAATTTAAAACATTTTAAATAAAGAGTTACATTTTATAAAGTGATATAACTGTTTTATGTAAATCAAGCATACCCATGGGATGAATTCCTCAATACATATTTCTATGTATGTGTGAGTACACTGATTATTCTTAACAAAAGAAATATAAATATATATTTGTGCATGCCCCACCCCGCCCAGCATTTCCTTTTCCATTCATACACTGTTCTGTAATATTAAACACACCTCATTTATTCATAAAGTATAAAAGACCTTCTGTGGTTTAGGCCCAACATCTGGGAAACATGTTGAGATTCAAAGGTTTCTGGATCAATGAAACTCTCCACATTCTGTGACCAGGCCTTTTATTATATGTGAGCTCTGCACAGGTCGGTCTAGATCCTTTATATAAGTCAGATTTATCATGGCTCTTATGTCAGGTCAATTACACAGGCATGCCAGCATTTTCCATGCATTAATCATCCTGCTAAGTGGCTTGTATCTCACAGGAATTCCTGTGTTTGAGTTGTTGCAGGGATGGGAGGGCTGGTTCCCATTTCACTGTTTCCCATTTTATGTGTGTGTGTGTGTGTGTGTGTGTGGCTTTCCCTATTCAAGTAATTACTGCAACTTCCACAAATTCAACAATCAAAGCATATACAAATATATAAAGTATGATGTAATGGACTATGTAGTAGATGTAGACATTTACGTGTATGTATTGTGTGTGTATATATATATATATATATATATATATATATATATATATATATGCTGGCAGGGGATGTGGCTTCTATAGCTTGTTTTGAAAATACACGTCTTTATAAATGCAAGTTGTGTTTTCACTTTTCAAAATCGTACAAATCGGGCTAATGTTGTGTGGAAATACATACACTTGTTCCTTATTTGGTCATTTTTAATTCCACCAGTTTTACAGAACGAAACAATCATTACACAACACCACAATACAATTCAAAGAGCAAGCAACTGTTTCTTTCATGATAATCCTAGACATTAATTATATGAACAAATGAGGTGCAGTTTCACTTCCTTCTCTCAGCCACCTGTAAATTATCCATAACGACTTCTTTGTGAATAAAAAGGTCACGTCATGAGTGATTTTCATCAGGTGAACACCACTGCCTCTTGAAATGCCAGCTGCTGTGAAAAGGTTTCCTGAAAACACGAAGCCTTTGCTGCGTACACAAACATTATAGAACACGAACACATTTTATTTTTAATTTAGTGCTGCTGGTATTATATCTTGCAGTTAGTTTTGGTTTCATCTACAGAGGTATTGTGATATCCACCACTGAGATTTTCCTTTCCTCAAATTCTGTATATCTGGAAATATGTTTTTCAAATGTAATTTCTCAGTGCCTTGAGCAGCACAAACAAGATTTCCTATACCTTTGCTGCACAAATATCATTCATCGTAAAATAGTCTGCATGACAACACATCTTTAAACTGACAAAATACTGGATGAACTGTCATTTTAAAATCTGTTAAACATGCAATCAAAACTGTGTTTATAAACGCTGGTGTCTCTGTCCTTCACAGATCAACTTCCTCATCTTCATCCACATCATTGAAATTCTTGTGTCAAAACTTCGAGCGCACCAAATGAGATACACAGATTACAAGATCAGGTGAGTTCAACATTGACGCGCTTTTCCGTGAACTGTACAGTGGTGTTTTTATTCTCTTGATCTATGTTGTAATTTTTCTTTCCCTCAGGTTGGCTAAGTCGACTCTAACCCTGATCCCCCTGCTGGGTATCCATCAGGTGGTCTTCATCTTTGTGACGGATGAATCTACCAAGACCACCATCAGTTTGCGTCTCACCAAGCTCTTCATTGACCTCTTCTTCTCCTCTTTCCAGGTCAGACTCAAACTAAAACATCAGTTATTACTTTCACTTGCCAAAACAATGCCACATATCATTTGTGAAAAGTCACACATCAGTCTCCACGGGGAAGGGAACATTTACAGCTGACATTGAATCAGTGTTCAGTTGTTTCAGTGAAATCAGGAAGGCTAAGAGCTGAGACATTAATGTAATATTTTGTGTATACTGACGCTGTAGTGTGAAAAAAATTTAAAAGAAAGAATGCCATACTGAGTAAAGTCGGAGATAAAGTGGTAAAACATGCCTAAATAGGATAAAACAGAACTTAAGGAACTCTCTTTGTTCTCAAATTTGAGTTCATTTTAAAATGTGGAGCTGGCCACACAATTACAGCTCAGACTTATAATTAATTACTTATAAATCAAACCCAAATGTCAGTTCTGCACTAAATCAACAGCTTCTCTAAGGGACGCTCGTTCAGCGATCTGTTCAGAAGTCCGAGCATCTCTGTGCTTATCTTGAACCTCTCAGAAAACTGAGAAGTGCTGTATTTACTTCAGTGTCAGGAGGGGTTACATTAACATAATGAGCTGTCTACCCTGATAACTGACATGATGACGGTGACCTTTTTGCTACGGGGACACAGATGACATGTGTCACGATTACAGCCAACCAGCAGGGGAACAGCCTTGAGGAGGAGAGCATGGGAGAGGAGGACACGACAATAATCTCAAAGTCACAGACAAATGCAGTTGTGGGACATTTAGACAGAAGATAATGAGCATGTGTGAGCATTGGATTGGAAGAGTTGGACTCGTGATACGTGGCCCCAGAGTCACGTTTTTGCTAATCTCTGTAAATACATTATGTATGTGTAGGCAAAGGACCAATCATGTTTGAGCAGGCTTTGGTTGCAAAGTAAACAGTCCGTGTGGAGAGCAAGAAGGCAGAACACTGACAGAAATGCAAACTCTATATGTGTATGCAAATAGCTGCTTAGAGAGATTTAACCAAAATGCTGCGATTCCGTAAAAAAAAAATCGTATCATAGATGTTGTCTATCAACTCCAACACTATCATCATGAGAAACATAAGGCAGACTCTTGACCTATCGCCAGACATTAGCCAATCGGCTCCAAGATTTAGTTTTTGCAGCTTTCTACATTTTGATTTTCAAAATAATGAATGAGTGAGTAGCTATTATGAGGACTGACTTAGTATCTGCTGTCTCCACAGGGTCTATTGGTGGCCATCTTGTACTGCTTCGTGAACAAAGAAGTGAGTCTCCTAATTTGCACCAAAAAAACCCAAATACTTGTCGACCCCTGACTGAACTGATCTACTCATCTCCGTCCTCTCCTCAGGTGCAGTCCGAGATCCTGAAGAAGTGGAAACGCTGGAAGCTCGGGAGGAACATCGAGGAGGAATACCGCCACACTTACAGCAATACCCCCAACACCAAGACAGGCAGCCTGCTGAACCACGTCTCTCAATTGCCTCACCTCCCAGACATCGCCAAAACCTCTGCTCCGCTCTGCAGCCCAGAGGAGACGCACATGCTCGTGGCTGGCTGCCATAACGGCACGGTGCACATTGCAGGGGAAGGTCAGTGCACCTCTCCACTGCACAAGGGAACAGTCAGCAACAGCACCCTAGTGGAGGACATCAGCCTCACGGACAAGGGGCAGTGTTACAAGGCTCAGAGAGAGAACGCAGAGAGCCACCTGTGAAAAACTCTGGGAACTCATGAGGAAATTGGAGGGCTGTGAGCTCTCGTCTGGCCCTGACATACTGAGCTGGGTGGCTGTGAAGAGCTGGGCTGATGGAGTCAACCTGTCAGCGCGGCCTTCGCACAGGTATCAGTGACACTGGGAGACCGAACAGCGCTCAGCCCTCTCCACAGCCTGAGAACGGAAGACAAAACACGGCACACGTCCAACGCTGAGGGTCCGGATGTGCTGTGAGCTTTGTGAATGCATTTCTGTAGATGTTTGTCAGACGGTGTAAGAAACTGCTGCATGTTGAACAATGCAACAACAGAATCTCAAAGGCAGATATAAGCCCTGTAAAATAATATGAAGTAAAAAAAAAGCCTGAAACCTCAAATAGCAACAATGGCAACAAAGGAAAAGAAAGGACGCAGGGTCTTCACTCAAGCCTCTATTTTGATTTGTGCGGTGTATTAAATGTGTGTTTCTGTGGTACTGGAGGTTAAAGACAAACTGGACATTGAACTGTATACAAAAAAAAAAAAACAAGTGACCCAGAAGAAAAGGATGGCAGGAAACAGAGGACACTGCTTCTTTTGCTCTGATATTTGTTAGTGTTTTTGTCCAAACTGACTCTGATGAACATGTACATAAAAGAAACATTCTGTCCACTGTACCTCATACAGGAAGGTGACCACAGTGTTGTTCAAGTGGCCCCATCCAGGGCCCAGGGGAAATTGGCAGCTGCTTTTATTCCTGGCTTACATATAGACCTGAAAAGAGGTCAAGTGATGGTATGGGATGAATTATAAATAAGCCAAAGTGATCCAAGCTTGACTTGCTTAGCTGTTTTACAATAACAAATCTTTTTATATGGGTTTAAACCTTAAATACTGCAGGAGTGCTACAGTTGTGGCTGTGTAAATGTGCGCCATTAAATGTTTTCATACCCTCCTCGCCATCAAGATGTTATCCGACACACACCTGATGCTAATTTCTACACAATCACTCGCTATAGACCCTTGAGATGAAAGCAGATAGGGGGGAAGTGTGCACTCGAATCAAGGATAAAAACACACGGCATATAGACATGACCTGTAAAGGCACACATGCATAAAGCATGAATTCAACACTGTGACTCCAAATAACATGTCACCTCTGGCAGAAGGGTGTGTTTGCGACGCTAAGTAGAAGCTGTCGTGCATGCAGATCGCACAGATTTAGTAAAACGACATTGTGAGCCGTGTGCACGCGGTTCCATCGCATCAGCATCTCCGCTGTGTAGATGCCATAAAGTCAAAGAGTCTGTGCTAATGACTGCATGCGGCCATATCCCTACAGACAGTGTTCAGCCTTATTCTGTGTCCGCGGGGCCTGTGGAGTATATGTACAAAGCCCGCTAGAAGAACAAATCCCCTCTGGTAATCATGCTTGTGACAAAGAAAGCTAATTAGCAGCGGTACAGTTGCTTCTGAATATATTGCATTATTTTATTTTATTTTGAGAAAAAGGGAATATTTTTTAAAAACATCAGTTAACGTTTAAGTTGCTGAATATTTTGCCAGAACTAACTCAACTTGACTTAGTATGTATGACTATTTGCACAATGTTAATTTATAATTGCTAAATACTGTGTGTATACAGTGTATATGTGATTTATCTGATTGCTGTCGATATGTTTAATGTGTGTGTGTGTGTATATAAGAGTAAACTTTCAGTTGGGTATGAATGTGTGTCGTTTCAGTATTCCAGATGTGTGCATGTGTTACAGTAAGTTGAATCACTGGCTGCAGCCAGAGGTGCAGCAGGCTGATGTAAAACAGTGCAACAGGCCTCACAGCGAGCGTAGAGATCAGGGGTCAATATGAATCAGTCCCGCTCTAACACATACAGCCCCACACCACAGTACATTCCTGGAAGTCATGCCTATTGTAAGACGCAGCTCTGCGTTTTATAATGGAAGCTATACTCTCAGTGTGATTCCTCAGTGTCATTTTGCAGTTAAGAGTTAAATTGAAGTGCAACAGCAACATGTTTGTCTTTCAGATAACAGCTCTGTGCTTTTTACACTGCAGCCACGTGCTGGCGTGAAGTCAGGAAAAAAAAATAAATAAAAAAAATGAAATTGCAAACCCAGGCTATTTTTCATCAACACCTGCTGAGGACTGTAATGGAGCAGACAGACACTCAACACTGTTGCTGAGTTGAGCTGGGAGCGGGACGCACACAGTGGAACTGCTCTTGCTCCGAGGTAATGATTTGTGTTTTTCATGTTCTGCAGGGCAGGAGACACATTTGGATGCTGACACGTCAACAAAGGAATGTTGTGCACCTTTAGTACAATAGGGTTCAGTGGTGTATATAAGTATATTGCAGATTTTTATTTCAAACCAATACATGTATTTTAAGCTGTGACCATGTATGTTTTTTTGAAACCAGCAGCTTGGGTCACTCCCCTCTCTGGACCAAAATGGTTCTGTCTGAATGTATTCTCTGAAAAGGCCCAAACAGGAAGGCTCCTCTGTATTTTCTCATGAAGGTGGTTATGTACAGTATATGTGGTGTGAGGGACCGGTCAGTGAGAGCAGACTGTGTTCAGGTGTATACAGTTCATCATATATTGTGTCCACTTATCAAACTTTGTCCAACTAGTGAAAGAATAAATTCCAATGTATGTGAAAGAGGATTTTAACTGTGCTTTTTTTGTATTGGTGAACATTCACAATGTTAAAATAAAAAGGAGAACGCATGTGCAGACCAGTTTTCTTGGCTTCTTGATGATGTTGGCTTCAGTTGCTGGTTTATGTAAGAGGTGACATTTGAGTCAGACACACTGGTACTGTGTGTGCATCATCAGAACTGCCTCTCAGATGATCACAGGTTCCTCTCTGATTGTCCGGCTGTGTCCGAACATTTTTTTAAAAAAGTCGATCTAACATAGCTGATCTCGTGATTGGCCAGCTGAGGTGTGAAAGGAGCCAGAGGTTCAAATTTTCTTTACACAGCTGAGGTGAAACTACGAACACCTTCCAGAATAGTCTCTGATGACTATTTGAGCAATATCCCATCTCCCAGCTCTCTGAGACAGTTTGGTTTTCCCCTGACCTTTGAATGTGCACAACACGTCATACAAAATAGTTTTTTCTGGGCATAACGCAGATAGGCCTCAGCGCTACGTCACTGCAGAGGCATACACAGATAGTTGTGGACATCACGGACACCTGGTTCCATACATGCACAGTAGACTGGCATCTCTGTGTATATATAGTCGGCTCCGGTTGGAATTTTCTAGCTGAGCAGCATAAGACAAAGTCAAGCTGCCCAGCCAATTTGAAAAAAAAAAAAAAAAGAAACGCTGCTTTGTGTCCAGTGGCCATTCTTGTTTTTTAGGCTCATGCATGGAGCGCATGCACAATGGGTATAGCAGCTTCTACCCACACAGAGCTGTGCATACAAAATATTTGGAATGTAACTCAAAGTAAGAGTGCTGTTGCAAAGAGGAAAAAAAAAAGTAATCCTAGTGAAAGTTTCAAATATTACCAGATGTGTGATGTAAATATTGGACATAAGCAATTTCCCAAGTAATGCATGTACAGTAAATACCTCATGTTACTGATACATCCTTGTTTTTAAATAACACAAGTGGTTTATATTTTATTATGGAACCACCTCATCCTCTGAGTATAAGAAGATAGGAAGCGGGGGAAACAGCATCTTTCCTGTGCTCCATATCACACAATGAGTAAATATACTGAGGGCTAAAGGTCAATTGATGTGATGTTTACGTTCTTCCCTTCGGCCCTGTGAACTGGGTTTGTGTCCTGATGTGAACGCAGACATCGTGTGTAATCATAAAGTCACATGTGTTGCTCTCCTCCCTCAGCGCTCTGGCAGGCTTTCATGGCCGCTTCTTGGCTCTCGTGCTATCGTGGCTTCCCAGGGTCCACAGCATGGCACAGCTGGAGAGCCGTATTTGGGAATTAATATTTAACATGCACTTATTTTCCCAAGCTCCCTAAATTCCATACATCTGAATGTACACACAAGCATGACTAATTTAGTCAACACTGAGGTAACAGTGTGCTTTGGGCCATATGAAATGAATCGTCACATGGGATAACATCAGCTTTTAATCATCAGATCTAGTCACCTATAATGTATATAAAGGGGCCTCAGGGTCTGCAGTTAGACCCAGAGCACAGATGTAAATGAGGACTTGTCTCACCAAGTGTTTTTTTTTTTCCTTGTGGCACTTTCTTCTCCTTTTCTTCTCTTTTGGCCGATGATCCTTTTTCTCTCTCATCCTATGTGTCTCTGTTTGTCCAAGAGCGAAAGAAGCAGAATGAAAAAGAAAGTTAAAGAATGATTCTTTGCTTTTGCAGTTTGGAAACAATCAGGGAAAACGATGAAAACCATTGGGAGTATTAAAACTGCTCTAAACCGGTTTTAAACTGCTCTTTGCATTACTGGATTTCACTATTAATCACTTTGAGAACTTGATTTGTTCTTAAACAAAACGTCCCCTTTGACTGGGACAACACTGACAAAGTCTGTTTAAAAAACAATGTCAGAAACCATTCAACTCGAGTCTAAATTCAAACAAACTTGAATGCGTGTCACGTCTTTTTCATCTCAGCTTGTGAAAGTAACGAATGGTTAAAGCTAAAGTGTGGCTGGTCAACACAGAAACCTTTTTTTCATGTTTCAAGTGTGGCGTGTTGCCCAGCTAAATGAACATCGTTCACTCACTTTCACAGACGGTGCAGAGAGGCTGGATGCATTGGGTTGGTTAATGCATGAGCGCCATCAGTCAGGTCGTTAGAGCTTATTAGCTGCTTTTGAGAAGTCGCGCTATCGTCTCTCTCATGCTGAGCAGAGTCCCCTGGGTGCACACTGCAACCCAATCCACCAGAACTACTACATCCCCCTGTAATACTTAGATTCTCTCAGCTTACACACACACACACACACACA